AATTGGCAGGGCCTGATGACTGGTTACGATGACATGGTTCTCGACGTCCACCAATATGTCATCTTCAACGAGAACCAAATCGACTACACCCACAAGGAGAAGGTTGAGTATGCCTGCGACGGCTGGACCGAGCAAGCGGAGATCAGCATGGACCGTTCGAAAGGTTACGGGCCTACCATCTTTGCCGAGTGGTCCCAGGCGGATACAGACTGCGCAAAGTTCCTTACCGGAGTAGGCTGGGGTACTCGCTGGGAGGGTACATACGATACAGGAAACAAGGACTCGTCCATCCTGGAGCCTCGCTGCCCAACTAAAGACGACAAGTGTTCATGCCGCGGCGCCAACGCTGATCCCAGCGACTGGAGTGACGAATACAAAAAGTTCCTCAAGATGTTTGCCGAGGCGCAGATGCACAGTTTCGAGAAGGGCTGGGGATGGTGGTACTGGACATGGAAGACGGAGGACAACCACCAGTGGAGTTACGAATCTGGTCTCAAGTCTGGTGTTTTGCCTGAGAAGCCTTGGGATCGTGATTTTAACTGCGATAAAGATGTTCCCGACTTTGAAAAGATGGGATTGCCCGAGTATCTCTGAAAATAGAGAAGGGTTTGTGCTGCATATATTATAGGTTCTGGGTATGAAAGGTTTGTTTCGGCGTTTGGGTATGCATGGGATTGGTATATAGAGCAAGTATGTTTGGGCCAGTATGTCGAGGCTTTGGAGAGACGACCGGTTGAATGTACTTATAATCAAGGTACAGTACATTGTTACATGTTAGATAGATAGTTAATAAGAACAAAGAGAAATAGTTGCCATGATATTCAATTTCTTAACTTGGTGAGGCCTTGCCTGACATTTTAGCCAAAGTATGAATAACGTGGATTATGTAGACTTCAATGAACTTGCCGGCATGAATACATAAAAATGAGGGCATCGTGAAGCCCTCATCATGCCAAGGAGTCTCACATTGTAATTTTGACACTCTGATATTTCATGAGCCGACCGACAACCGCCGATTGGGTGTTGGGAATAGCACGGATCTGTGATGCAATCTGTTTTATGATTCGGTGAATAGTCGAGATAGATATGTCGATACATCCTGAACAGGCAAGACTTGGCTTAAGATTCAAGCCACTCATAGACAAGAACGAGCTTGAGAACTAAAACTCCAACGACAGTTTAGTTGCGGGGGATGTTTGAGGCCAGACACTGCTGCAGAGCGTATAAGAAAGTTGTCAAAGCAGAATGAGGATAGGTTTGAAGATAGACTTGTTTGGCCTCTGACCTGGAGAGATTATGGTTAGACTGAGATCCATATTAAGTACTTCACATATTGTTATTCCATAACAACTAGAGACGCAGGCCGAGATAAACTAATTAGAGTCCAGACACATCAACAAATCCCAAACTCATGATGGTCATCTACTTCGACAGATATGCCACATTCGAACTCATAATCATGGTCAACTTTGAAGCATAGGCATGTTTTAGTTTTATTCATCGTGCATGTGTCGGCAAAGGAATGTAACTGTAGATACTATGAAATTCAATCGAGGCAACTCATGGCGAGGGCCATGTGTTAAAAACGAAATCCATATCACAAACACTCTCAGTCGCGGTTCACAGAATTATCATTATTGCTGTTGGTTTGCCAGGAAAGTGTTTCTCTAATCAGAGGCAGCCTCTTGCGACAGTGCCGATATACTCCTCTCCAATAGGATCAGGTGTAAAGGGGGAGGTTTTCCTGTGCTGTTTCTGCTTTGTCGAAAGAGGTAAAGGAAGTCGAGGCCAGCCACACGTAGCATAATCATCATCGTCATGATCATCATCAGAGTCACCATCAGAATCACCATCAGCGAGTCACTTCAAGCGAGTCACTCAAGCAGACACTTGCAAGACGAGGTAGTAAGCCTGAGCTCCGGCTCCCCTTCGGTAGTCCTGGATCTCAGCGGACAGGACCTTGACCTTGTTCTGCTCGGCAAGGGCCTTCACATGGCTCTCGTAGCCTCCAGTCTGCCAGATCTCACGGATGACAGTGGCCACGATGTAACCTCCGGGCTTCACGATACGCACGAATTCACTGATAGCCTCGGGACCAACGTGAGACTGTGTCAGAGTGCCAACACACGTCACGACATCATAAGAGTCATTCTTTGCAGACAAGGGGCGAGACAGGTCTGTCACGTCCAGGTTGCGGTATGCTCCTGTAGTGCGGGCCTCTTCAAGCATTCCGGGGCTCAGGTCAACACCATCGAGCTTCTTTGCGCCCAGACGAGCGAGGAAGATTCCGACGAGGCCAGTACCACAGCCAGCGTCAAGGATCTCGACGTCTGGGTTGATGATGGGAGTTCCTAGGGCTTGGGGAACATGGGCAGCGGCAATGGCAGGGCCGACATAGTCTTGGCCCTTGCCTGTGATCTCCTCGTTGTAGGTCTTTGCCCACTCGTCGTAAACGGAGCGAGCATGATCAACAGAGGTGAGGGAGTAGATCTTGGGGAAGTATTGAGCAGTGGTTTGGGAAGACATGATGTTGAATGAGGATGGGGGTAGTTGGGAGGTGTTTAGGAAAGTGTGTTATGTAAGGGATAGTTGAATAGGAGTTGATTGATTGTATGTGTGTTGAAACCAAAGTAGTCTAAAGAGTTGAGTTGAATTGAAGAGTTATAATCTCAAAAAAATTGAGGAGAAAACATGCCCCTTTTATAAACAAAAGCTCGATCAACCAAAAAGCCCCGCGTCTCTTCTTGTTTCCCCTCGCCTCTTACCCCCCGCGTCGAAGAGATTCCGAGGTGACGTTTGGGCGTGCCTCTGGATGCGAATCAATTGGTGGATTGAATGAATGAACATAAACGATTGCGACTCGGCGCAGCCTAAAGCAGTGATCCGAGGTAAGCGTTGAAGAATAGTACGCCAGTGGAGAGCCTGTACTGTGCTGTACAGTTTGGACTAGTAGGGATAGAAACATAATAATGATAATAATAGGTTTTCGTCAGATAAAATGGGGGTTGTCAAAAAGAAACCGCCATGTTTATGTTGGGTTGTTATTTTGTTGTGGTGTTGAAATGCAAACCAAGGTAACGCAACGCAACGTTGGCGGTTATGATCAGCCGAGAACTCTTGGCCAACTGGGTCAATTGACGGAATTACTGCTGAATCGAGTGGTATTATGAGTGTTTTGCCCCCTCTGCTCCTTTTGTATTCTTGGGCGATATTTTGTCTGTCAGTTGCGTCGAGTTTCTTTTAGTACTTGTGGTATTCTTTACACCACCAAGACGATAAACTTGTGCATCATGGCAGCAACTCAATTTGCGCAGACACAAGTTCCTTATCACAAGGAAATAGATACTGGCCTTGGGAGAATCCAATAAAATAAGATTCAGGTCACCCAGTTTAATCCCCATCCTGTCGCGGGCGCATCATGAGTGCGTCCGTTGCGAGAATTATCTCATGCAGTTGCAGGGCTGCATAGGTAGTCATTGCCCTGTCTTGTTTTACAGGGCCGGGCAGTGCAGCTGCGGCGTCTTATTCCCTGGAAGTGCATCTCTGAGTTGCGACTAGAGCTCATGGTAGAAGCGAGTTGTTTCGAACTACGGTGTCCTTTGGGAGCTGGTGACTGTCTTGACAACTTTGACTGTTTGATGCGACGCGACACCAACACTCATGACTCTTTAATTGCATCTGTTCTCGTTAACTAGGAAAGCTGCTGCACGAAGGGACCTGCCTACCCTACAATAAACTAAAGCACTCGAAGCAGGTACTCTGGGACCTTTTTCCTGCTGACCGAGCTGTGACTGATGGATTGTGTTACGAGTTACAACCCTACCAACGCCCGCAGTGGAAATGCACATCACGGATGGAACTAAATGACGCCATTCACGTATGTCGTCTTGGTCCTCCTATCAAATGTTGAGGAAGAATCCAAGTGAATAGGCAGACAATTGGTCAAGATACAAAGGGTGATCTATGTTTCTGTACCATGGATGATACGAAGGAGTACCTCGACGGTGATTCGTTGACTAGAACTAACAAGTTCTTGTTTATTCGGACATTAATCAACAGGCATGTGAAAAATAACCGGGACTTGCAGGGTAGTCAAGAGAGTCTTATTCGACGTCATGAAGATGATGAATGTTAGCGCGATACTCTTCCATGCAGTCCCCGCAAGTAAATACTACAGGATGATAAGCATACTCAATGTGCTTGTCTTCGTAAACGGTACATCTGCATTGATAATAGCTCAAGTTTTGAAATGCGGGGAAATAACAATTATTGTTCTCTCATCATGTCGCCTCTTGGCTCTTTGTGCTCTCTTTCTCTCTCTAGGTTGGAACAAGACATCACAAAGGCGAGAAAGAACAGACAGGCGAGTTGCTTGTTATCTATGTATTACGATAGGTTGACGTCGGCTTGCCGTATCTCACTGTAAACCGGTAGCTAGATACCATCACCAATATTAAATCACACCGAATAAGTGACAGAGTCAATAGAACACTGTATATGGTCAAGTCCGAATCCCAAATCTTGCTTCTCATCGGCTCCTAAAGAAGTCCTTGCACAAGCAAAGACGAAGTCGCAAGGCTTATATAAATCTCAAAGATCTTCACAAACTTTGTAGATACGCTATACGACGCATTCCCTTTGATAAGCAAGCCACGGTGGTCGCTTGTCCATTGTTGATTGGATCGTGAGAATTGCTTTGCAGGTTTTGTTGGTCAGCAATTACGAAATGGCTCGAGTCGTATGTAATTGAGGTTTTATATGTAATGTTTTCTAAGCGAGCGTCGTGCCCCTAGTGGTGAAGAACGAGCTGTAACGTATCATACAGGAGTCGTTTGCGTATATATATAAAGGTCTTGAGGGCCCTGGTGGTTGATAAACTTGGCTCTTGGCAGAGTACCTTGAACAGAAAGTCAATGTCTACTTAAATCATTCATTGGTATAAGCAGGACTTGAGAAGCTACTGTGGAGCATCATCACTCTTCAGGATACCATCAATAGCAATGGATCGCGATATCGAAAAGACGTCAATAGACGAAGGAACTCTGAAGTCCGAGCCAGTATTCTTACCTGTTCGCCCAGGAACAACAGAAGCCATGAGAGCTCGCTCCAGAGCATCCAGAAACCTCTCTCGCTGCCAGTCTCAGAATGGTTACAGCTGCAACCCTTACCAGAAGCCTGACATTGATGATAATGATGATGAAAATGCGCCAGAGAAGGACCCCTTCGAGGTTGATTGGGAAAACAGAGACAGTGATCCCTGGTATCCGCGCAAGTTTGTCAAGATGAGAAAGTGGTTGATCATCTTTATTGTTTCGTCTGCAAGTCTATGCGTGTAAGTCAATTCTTCAACACTTTAGTGTCTTGTCACAGTGGAAACTCACTAACACAATGGGAATAGAACTGCCGCAAGTTCCATCTACACATCCACCTACGAGCAGATGGAGGCTGAATTTGGCAACTCGCGGGAGATATCTATCCTAGGTCTTTCAACCTTTGTCCTAGGAATTGGTCTTGGACCCATGTTCCTGGGACCCATGAGTGAATTCTATGGTCGAAGACCTATTTACATTGTCTCATGGTCTATGTACTTGATTTGGATTATTCCACAAGCTGTGGCTCAGAATATTGAGACTATCATCGTGAGTCGGTTTCTCGACGGCTTCTCAGGCAGCGCATTCCTTGCTGTATCCGGTGGTACTGTCGGAGATCTCTTCACTGCCAACGAAATACAAGCGCCCATGTTGATGTTCTCCATTGCACCCTTTGTAGGACCTTCGATCGGGCCCTTGATTGGAGGCTTCATCAATCATAATGTTGACTGGAGGTGGACGCATTGGACACTGCTAATATGGGCGGGCATTTTATGGATGGCCATTGTACTTTTCGTCCCTGAGACGTATCGTAAGTTCTTGACTGAATCAATACAGTGGCTGGCTAGTATCAACTGACCTTGGACTGTTTTAGATCCCATCGTTCTCAGAAATAAAGCAAGACATATTCGGAAAGAGACAGGCGATGATAGATGGAAGGCTTCTACAGAAAGGATGGAAAGGTCGGCCATCAGCGCAATCGGACGATCTCTCCTACGCCCCTTTCAGCTCCTCATCTTCGAGCCTATGTGTCTCAACCTCTGCATCTTTACAGCCATACTCCTCGGTATTCTCTACCTCTTCTTCGGAGCCTTCCCTCTTGTCTTTGGCAAGCTTTACAACTTTAGCCTCTGGCAAGTCGGCCTATCCTTTCTGGGCATCCTTGTGGGCATGGTGGCCGCTGCAGGACTCGATCCTGTGTGGCACCGCATCAGGAGTAATCTCATCCGCAAGCTGAGCACAGAAACAGGCGTTCAGGGCAACAGCCAGCCCGAGTTCAGACTCCCACCAGCGATCGTGGGGGCTCTCATCGTGCCTGTTGGTATCTTCATGTTTGGTTGGTCTTGTTATCCCTGGATACACTGGATTGTGCCCATTATTGGATCAGCCATATTTGGGTCTGGGTAAGTTAAGCCATCTCATTATTTCATCGCTCTATAACACCGAACAATTGGCAGGCCTCAAGGAGACGTGGCTCGGGGAGCATTGGGCTTTGGATCGTCCTACCCCAGTTGCGTAATTGTCTTAACACGGTGACTGAGACAGGAACCATACCAACGGAATCACACTCGCACAAGAAAAGCCAAACAAGAGTTTTTAATCTTAGTCACCGCTTGGTCATGCCTTTTGAATCTCGTATCTCAAGAGCTTGTGTCTTGACGAACTGCAGCTAACCGTTTGGTCCTGAGATAGAATCCTTCTTGTGTTTAGCGGAGTCTTTACGTTTCTTGTAAGTTCAATTGAAGCCTTTTTGCATTGTCCGGTTGTACAGAGGCTGTGACAGGCTCACCGCACGTTACACTGCTCTTCGCATGAGTGACTCTACTCTCGTTGCCGGGATCATGACAGGACTGCAATGCGATTCCTTGTGCTGATCGTGATGGGATAGGTGGATGCGTATCCGCAGTACGCTGCGAGTGCATTGGCTGCCAATGCCTTTGTGCGTTGTGCTTTTGCTGGTAAGTGACTGATATCTCACCCCTACCACTGTTTCATACCGCCGTTCACTTGATCTACTAGTTAGCTACCTTGTACTGCAAATGTATGATATTGTTATAGGTACAAACAAGCTGACTATTGTGTGCACAGCTGCATTTCCCCTGTTTGGCAACCAGATGTACAAAAAACTCAATAATCACTGGGCTTCGACACTATTGGCATTCCTAACAGTTGCTATGATGCCCTTCCCATATCTCTTCTATCGTTATGGAAAGCGGATCAGGGCCAATAGCCGCTTTGCTACTTCTTGATGGCTTGCTAGAGCTATAAGGGATAGTTTCGTCTATGTTTCCGCGCCACTAGAAAAGGCACTAAACGTACCTGCGCTGAGGAACTACTGCATCAATGAGATGGATGTACGACAGTGGGATACACCGAAAAAAGGAATGCTAGTCATTGAGAGGTGTTAAGAGTAGTTCAGTGAGTGGGTTGATAATTGATCATCGGTTGTACAAAAAAAGCCGGTCTATAGGAGTCATTATGCGTGAAGCCAGAGGGAGTTGAGTTTTGCTTGCTCCCAGGCTGCAAAGTGATTCACTATTATCCAACTCAACTAATGAATCGACCAAGATTAAGTCTATGGGGAAGTGAAGCCGATCTTCAGCCAGGATCTGCTTGACCCGCTGAGGCAAATGCGGGGATGCAGTTAGATGTTGACAGACATGCATGGCATTACTTGATTCAAGGACATTGACAGACGATGTATAAGAAGATGATTTGATAGTGTTCAAGTGCTAAGCGATTTCTTTCCTGAACAGGTCAAGTCATACGAGAGGCCCTTGCAAGCTGCCGACAAGGTTATATGCTTGTAACATTGTCAGCTGTTTCAACTAGGTACAAGCTTGATGTTCTTTCAGCTTGACAAAGGCCTGCATAGTTTACAACTCATCCGTCAACTGAGGTGCGAGATGAGCCAACCACAGCTTTGGTGTGAAGAACACAGTCAAGATGGACAAGGGTGTCTGTCTGAGCCTCTAAGGTCCTACGAAATAAAACCTACAATCTGCAAGTCCCATGATACTCGGCTATCGCAGCCTCGACTCTAGGTTTTCGGCCAGCGGCATGGATCATACTATGCAGTGTTATAGCCTCCAACCGGATGAACGCTTGCCTGCTTCTACCCGCTATAAAAAACAAGGAGCAAGGTGTAGTCAACTCAGCTGTCCGTGGCCCGGTTGTCATGCAATACAAGCCGCAGCCGCAGGAAAAAGAACAGAAAGAAAGAGTAGTGGTATTGACTCTAGCTTGTCGAGCAAGGTATTCGAGACAATGGCAACATAGCGAATTAGTTGAATTCAACTGGTATTGTACTTGCAACTATGTCCGCGCGGTTACTTGTTTTCTAACCAAATATTGCAACTCCATGTCTTGGCATGTGTAAGATAGACCCTGGACATGTCATATAATAACTCTCGGTCGCCGAGGTCAGGCGTCGGTTAACGACAGTTCCAGACCCTGGGGTATCTATGATCCAATAAAGTACCCTTGATATCAGAGATCCATGGTTCCAAGTACGGTAGTACTCACCGTAATAGATAACTGAGATCAAAAAATGGGAAAATACCATCAGACAAAGGATTCATCATGAACAAGACAAACCTCGGCGGCCTTCCGCTTCTGCCCCACCTTGGCCTCCGGCATCCGGACTCGGCATAAGCAAAACGCTCCGGATGGGCGGATATTTTGGAATAGCAGATGTTGATAAGGCATATCAAGGTATCAGAGTATTTTGATCAAATAACAATCAAGGCGAAAAATACATGGTCTACAATTTTCAGCTACTTGCATGGGGCCTTTTGCTGTTTCGGGTACCTTGCTTTGATGCTGCACACCGGCCGTCCCACACCGGCCGTCCCACACCGGCCTGTCGGTGACAGTCGCCGGGGTAGGGGTTTTTTCTTTTATGTATCTTTTTCTCTTATTTTTTTCTCTTTCTTAACAGCTAGCCTGTAGTGGGAAATGATCACGGTATTAGTTAGTGCTTTCTATAACTAAGTCAGTATCAATTTCAAGCACATATTTTGTGTCCATGTTGAATAGATGTATACCAATACAGGTGAACTTTCAAGTATCAGCAAGATACAGATTACTATCCTATACTAGGAATCACCTAGAAGCCCAAACTGTTCAACAAACATATAGATAGACGGGCATACAGATATAGACCCTTGTCTGATGAGGCACAATACCACTTTGCAAGAAAAAAATTGACATGAGACGTCTTGGTCAGAATCTCCTTGTCATCACAGCCTAAGCAGCCAGCCTAAGCTAATAACCAAGGGTGGTTGGGAAATTAGTGACAAAATGGATCAATGGAGTTATCCTAGCGGCGCAGCGGGATCTCTCTTAACTGGAGCCGGATCAAGACTTTGTTGCTCAAGTCAGGGAGAATTGGTTATTTATTTGTCCTTCTTGACCGCCAGGTCAAAGATTGAGTCAGGGTAACTTAAGTCAATGACCACCCTGGCTTCGTATCCGAAAATATGACAGAGTCAAGTCGCGAAAAAATCTGATCTCAATTTGCGACGGGCTTCAAGTTACAAATAGAAGCCATCGTCGGACCAATGGACAGCCTCGAGTTTCCCCCAGGGCGGGCTACCCTCTCCACTGTATTACAGTAGTAGTGAACCCCGCAATCAAAGTTTGGCCATGATTGGGCTCTATTTTAGCGGATGGAAATGGATTCATAAAGGTCCGTAGCTGGGTACCACCTGTCCATAGGTTCGGCTTGCTGAGGCATAAACAAACAACAAAGTATCAGCCATTGTTAGTATTATTAGTCTATCAAATCCACCTGAAACAACTCGTGGAAATCTTTCATGATTATCAGTGTGTTGAATGCATTGTTTACGATGATATCCATCTAGCAAATTGACTGCCGCTGATACCCATGCCTTCTAAGGTTGTATTAATTCCAGCATTTGCAAATTCAGGACTTGCAAAAACAGGCCCTGAGAAACATTTACCCACTCTGTCCATGTAAAGTTACCTGGACAATGCGGTTATTGAATCATCCGCCTGGCCTGTCAAGTGTCATGTTCCTTGTTTACGAGATTCTCTGTAGCATCAACACCTCGGTTTTTCACATTGACACATGCACAAGTATACATACTAGCCTTGGTTATTCATCAGTGCCATAATCACGCCCTACCGGTATGTTGTAAATGATTAAAGAAAGAAGGAATAATGTATCTGTTTGTCCCAGGTATTTCGATATGTATCCATATTCATTCCTCTAATGCAATCCACTTTCTCACTCGTTAATCCACTTTGTTGGTTGTACCGTACCTACTACCTTAGTACATACAATACATCAGGTACTTCTGGGGTCTCTAGCACGCGATTGATTTCCTCGGAAGGATTCATCGATCTTTACAGTTTACCTATGGGACTGTACCCGCGGGATTCCATGGAGAGATATATTCAATTGCCCTCTACTCTGTGGCGCCCACTAAATCTCAATCCATTTCACCAACCACCACCAAAAAACCCCACACTACAACACTCACTGGAACCAACCACTGTCGTCTGACCTTTGACCTCGCTGTTGGACTCTTTTCTCGCTGATCTTGAATTGCAACAGTTACTGCTGACGACTTGATCTGCGAATTGCCTCGTTCGACTTACCCTCCTACCTATCGTCTTACTTGACCAATTCAATCAATTTCTTTACCTACCAACTATCGCGATCCGATTTCTCCGCGCTGCGCTTCCCTCCACTTCGTCTCGCCTGGTTCGCATGCCTCATCTTTGCACGACGACGCTACTTCTACATTCAACTACACTGTCACCACAGCCTGCTTCTACTTCGACCGTCGCCGACGCTGTGCGAGCTGTTACTGTTGCTGCTGTACGCTTTGCTCATTAGATTGGTCAGTCCAGCTATACCACTGGGTCCAGCCGTTCCTCATGGGGCCGCGGGTAGCTGCATCCTATTCTTTCCTCTTCGTCATCGTCCTCCACAACCGCACCCTGGCCATATCGTACCTGTAGCTGTCGCTCTTTTCGTGTCGCCTCAGTCGCCTCTACCGCTACCTACGACTCCCATGCGTTGAACGATCATCGATTCTCCTATCGACCCTCGAATCACATCTCTACCACAGGTCACATCCTCCGCCTTCCTCAGTGACGAGACTCGCAGCCTCACGGTCCCCCCTGTGACTTGCAGTACTGTTGATTGCTTATACGTCGCACGAGAACGCCCCTTTGCGTATCATATATGGGTGCTTTATTGACTTTACTTGAGTACACCCCATCCAGCATACGAGCTCGACCGATCACTTTCGGTCTCGCTATTATCTCAAGGCTTAACACTCCAGACACGGCTGCATACAGCCCTCTGGCCTCGTTTGCGCCCAACGCCATAGTCCTACCAGATCTGTACCGTACAGCTTAGGCTTTTCCTAAAATTTCATACACCATCTTCGCTACTCGCATAAGTGAACGGTTAAGAGATCAGGAGAAGGATTCTGTTGCGCGTTACCGCGCCACCGTGGGGGTTATTGTCTGTGAATAATACGCATCGCGAATTTCATTCGGCGACGTACCTGTCCCTGCTTGTTTGTGCCATCGAGGCTTGTACAAGTGTGGTTCCGCAAAGGTGCCTGAAAGGGGTACGAAGAGACAGTGAGAAACGAAAAAAGGTTTCTAGGATTCGGAAGCTGCATTCCCGGGCCGCTTTGTGTACAGCAACCTAAACAAAGTCTCGGGCTCGACGAAGCTGAGAGGAGGATATTCCAGCCGTCGCATTACCTTGTGTTGGTCTCCAGGCCTTGTATATAAAACCTAAGACACCATGCCGCACGAGATGGAAGAGAATGGTGCTGAGGTCTCGGATGTTATGTCTGAGAACGAGGACGAGACAGAAACTTTTATCAAAGACGACGACGAAAAGATGGCAGACCAGAGCAATACTGAGGTCAAGAAGAAGTACGACCCAAAGGATCCTTTGCGTCCAAGAAGGAAAAAGGCTCGTAGGGCTTGCTTTGCCTGCCAAAGGGCCCATCTGACTTGTGGTAAGTCTCCTTGCAGCGGCCGTCCCGGCAATTTGTTGGCATACGCCAGTCATTACGATGCGAACTGTCTTTTCCCATTGTGAAGTTTGGCCCTTATATTAGTCCTTCGGTTACCAGTATCTAGCTGGCTGACTGTTTGCGTACTTCTCATAACCCATTTCTGTGAAAAGAGTCATGGTTGAGATCGTCGTGCTTGAAGGTCAAGAAGAAGGTTTCAAACTGACATCTTTCCAGGAGATGAGAGACCATGCCAGAGATGCATCAAGCGAGGTCTCGCCGATGCATGCCAGGATGGCGTTCGAAAGAAGGCGAAATACCTTCATGATGCTCCTCCAGAAGCTCTTCGACCTGTTCTTGGCCCCAACTACAACCCCAATACCAATCCTACGCCTCCGCGTCCCAACGCACAACGTCAAAATTCGAATGCCAGTCAGTCAGATAGCTTGTCTGCTACTGGGAGCAACTTTTTTTCTCAAGCAACTACAACGACTTTACCGGTCTATTCAACAGGTGCACAAACTCCTGTAGGCATCGATGGCCTGCCCTTTAATCCTCAAGCTTCGCCAACAGCTTTCCAACCTCCAATTGCCAATGCGCACCCGCCAATGAACAACATATTACCCACCGGAAATATGGACTTTAACGCCTTGTTCGATCCTAGTAACCCTGCCTTGTACAACTTTGACCTGGAGGGCCTCAATTTTGGTAGCCAGTATGCAGGCTGGGAATTCGGAATCCTCAACAAGATGGCCCTTGGGGCCGAGACACCACCACGGGAGAACTCAATGTCACAAACTCCAACAAACGAGGCCAATTATGCGGCTCTATTCGGGAATGCAAATGGGAACGCAAATGGCTTTGATCATTCCATGTTAGGGGCCGACTTCTCGGGTATGGACCAGAATAATCAGTCTCTGTATGCACAGGGGAACCTCCAGCACGGGTTGCCTCATGCCTATGCCATTGCGGCTGGGCCTACAAGTCTTGCCAGCCCAAGTACAGATGCTACAGCCAGTCCTCATTCAGTCGCGGGCATGGAAGGCTCCCCAAACCACAATTTCGCCGGTATCCCTACAGTTCCTGGCGCGCAACGACACAGGCCGAAGACTGCCAAAGCGGCTCCGAAGTCTTATCTCGGCAAGCGACAAAGGGATTCTGCCGCTATCTACGAAAGCGTTAAGGAGCCCTATCCGTATACCACCGGGTTCCACAACATGGTGGCTGTCTTGCGAAACCGCCTGCCCGCCAACAAGCTATTAAGAATTGCCAAGGCCCTTGGAGAGATTCGGCCGTCATTCATATCATGTACTAAAGACTTGACCCGGCAGGATCTGATCTTCATGGAAAAATGTTTTCAGAGAACATTGGTCGAGTACGATGACTTTTTGCAGCATTGCTGTGCCCCAACGATCGTGTGTCGAAGGTCGGGCGAAGTAGCTGCTGTCAACAAAGAGTTCACCGCGTTGACAGGATGGACAAAGGAGGTGCTGCTTGGGAAAGAGCCAAACCTCAACATCAATACGTATAGCGGCCGCTCGACCAATGGGTCCAGTACGCCAGACAACAATACTCAGGGAGATATGCCCACCCCTCGTCCTCAGAAAGCCACACTTGACAACAGCAGCGGGCGCCCTCAGCCTGTGTTCTTGGGTGAGCTTTTGGATGATGACAGCGTTGTCGAGTTCTACCAAGATTTTGCCGAACTGGCTTTTGAAGACAGTCGTGGTAAGGTACAGAGAAGCTGCAGGCTAAACAAGTATCGGTCATCTCAAAGCCTGGACATCAAGCCAGAACATGGTGTCCCAAAAGACATTCAACCGGGTATTCTCAGCAGCCGAGTCACGCGCATTGATAGTGAGCACGGCATCTCAAGGATTGAGAGAGATGGCAAGGTCGAGTGTACCTACTGCTGGACCATCAAACGAGATGTTTTCGACATTCCCATGATGATTATTATGAATGTGAGTTGCAACGCTGTTGCTGATACAAGATGTGAGCTAATTTTTCATGACAGTTCTTACCGCGATATCTACCAGACCAAGGCCCTCAGCAACTAGCTGTTTAGTCGGCCATGACTGCTGGTGGATTTGAAATACGTTGATTCCCTCTTTCTTGTTTGATGTCTTTTGACAAACGCGAGACCACTTTTAAGCCCTTGGGGGAGGGGCCGTAGTATGGATGAGACAGAAGAGGAAAACAATGGAGTACATGTTTTTGATAGAAGACTAGCCATGGTGCTATTTCATGGGTGGTTAGGAAAGATGGGGTTTCACATGATACCCGGGCAGTATTTAACAGATATAAAACGTCAAATAACAAATACATGAAATCGAAGTATATCTTCTATGTTGCTGTTCTATCCCTAACTCCCAGTCACTTTTCTTTACCCTGGTTTATCCCGCTGTCTCTAAGCATCACGAACTAACCACTGGACATCCAAGTTACCCCCACTGATAACACGGCCCTTCTCAGGGGCCCATGCCTCACGAGCAAGGCTGTTCTTTGCAACTTCGCAATCAAAGTTGATATCCTCAATAAGAGCCTCCAGACTCTTATAGTCTTTCTCCTCACGGATGAAGCCGAGAATGAGCAGGCGCATAGGCACATCGTAGAAGTCTGCAGTGAACTTATGTAGCACGTGAACCTCGGCACTACGGACCTTGTTCTTGTAGAAGGGATTGTAACCAATAGACATAACCATGGGGAAGATGTGGAATGGGGGGTTAGCGGGAGCTCCAGCTGAGAGAAGAGCGTCCTCTGTGCCATTTTGGGGAGCAGCGTTGGATGACGCTGATGAAGGAGCATCGGGATGCTCAGAAGGAAGCGCGAGAGAGGCATAGCCAAAGTAGACGCCTGATGCCATATTTGAGATCCAAGGGGTCAGAGCTTCATCGACGGGAAGGTTGGCGGTAGGGATGCCAAGCTGGGAGACGTTAGTAAGATGGAATAAGAAGGTAAGTGGATTAGAAAATGGTTTCACTTTACCTCTTTGGAGCCGCGTCCGAAACCAGAAATGACCTTGCCTTCCATATGAAGCGGATAAGGGGCCTCGGGGCCGGCGTCCGGGCCGACGACTGAAGGGCGAGAAGGCATGATGGACGATAGAGTCACAGAAGTAATATTGCTTAGTGATTGTTAATATTCAGTCGACTAAGAAGAATGAGAATGAGTACTATGAAACCAAGAGGGTGTGTTTTGTCAATGAGAGTAACTATACCTAAGTCTTGGCTGGTACGCAATGAGAAAAGGTGAGTCTTGGGATGAGTGAGTAAGTAAGAAGCTGATGGCAATTAATTATCAGAGTACAGGTGGGGGTGGAGTTGAGTTGATGATGAGATCCAATCCGATGAATGGTGGGGCACGGCGGGGAGTCGATACCGAAGTGCGAAGGTCGGAGGAATAATGTCGTCGTTGTACTTAAGTCTTTGCCTTAGTAGGTAGTTACCTAGTAGGTATCTAGGTAGTACTTTCAATGTTGCACGCAAATATCTGAGGTTTCCAGTAGATTATATGATAGACTTGAAAGTTACGAGTCATTGATGATCTGAGCGATGAAAGGAACAGTTGAGATTAGTAAGTAGCATGTAAGACAACGCTAGAAAGTGAGAGATAGCTTCAGAAACAGAACTGTATCATTCTCATCATTCTCATCATATTTGTCCCCTTAATCATAGAGGTGATCTCTCAGCCGACACCCGCCATCTGTAACATTTTCACAACAGACACCATTGTAAATTGTATGGCAGCAGCTCACTTCCATACGTCGTATTAGGTCAAGTAAATGTGCATTGTGAAGTACCAAACGATTGTAGTTCACCCGTGTTGAGTCTTTTTACCATAGCCACTCGGGTTATATTTCATTTTGGATAGGAACCAAGTAAGACACTAAACGCCGTTGCATTCCTTTCCATGCACTCTATGCAGCAGTCTCCGTCTTGGTCTCTGTAGCTGCAGTCTGATTGCCTGGCCACTCAGTCCTGCCCAGCTTAATGATATCGCTTGCGTTGAGAATCCAATACTTGCTCGGTGCCTTTCCCTCCTTCGCCAACTGCGCAGCTCTTATGGCCGCTTTGGCAATGACATCGGCGTCTTGACCAATGGTATCTCTGAACCCGGAACTGAGGCTTCCTAGACCGTTAATTGCACTCTGAGCTATGCCCTCCGCAAGGCGGCTTGTCTCTCGCTGGCCCATGATCATGCCTGGCTTGAGAATAACGGCCTGCTCAAATCCCATGTCCTTGATTGCGTCTTCAACCCCATTCTTCATCTTTCCGTAGGGTGAAGAGGCTCCCAAGAATGAGCGCGTACCCCCGCTTGAGATGAAGACAAAGGTCGACACACCTGCGGCCTTTGAGGCCTTTGCCAGTTCAATGTTCAAATCGTGGTCAATCTTCCATTGGTTCTGAATTCCTCCTGCCGCAGCACGGGTGGTACCAAGAGCAGAGTAGACAATAGAGGGTTTAGGTGTGAGGCCAGTGAGGAGGTCTGCCCACTTGGTGGTGTCGGTGTCGACTATCGCGTTGAGCAATGGGGATGTTGCCTTAGGAGCACGTCGAGTGATGGTGTGAACAGGATTATAGATGTCAGAATCAAGAAGGATTGAGAGAATGTTTGAGCCGACGAGGCCGGTAGAGCCAATGATGGCAGCTGAGGAAGACATGGCGTGTAGTTTTGTTATCTGTTGGCCAAGACAATGGTTTGTGATGAAGAGGTTGGGGTATCAGAACGTAAGAAGTGCTTGTGAAGATGGCCAGTTCACAATCGCAGTTTTTAGGGTATCAATTGGGAAAATGCAAATAATGTCCAGGGATCATCGTCTGGTCTTTTTAAAAAGCAAACAAGGACGTTAGGTGACGCTATGGCCCAAGCGATAAGGAACAAGCCACATTGAATTAGCAGGTACAGTACTAACGCAGCATCCAGCAATAACAATTCTCCAACAAAAACATCAATGTATTCCAGAAACTTAATCGTTCTGTAATCAGTTTATACACCATAGCCTCTTGGAGAATCAGTGAAACAGGCCATGTAAGTGAAGCTGTCAGCATATCTTATTGTAACAATCAATCAGCACCTAATCAATTGTACCTGCCTGCATAATCGTGGCTCAGCTGCAGGGTAACAGGGGTCCAAGCTCTTTACTAAGTACCTTCCTGTTACCCCACTTACAACTCGAGCTTCGATTTTGACTTGCGACATCTTTTCTCTGCCTGCGTCTTACACCACCACCTACTGTTCCACGACAACGGTTCGTCGCCTAGTTGTCCTCTCACATACTTATTTGACCGAATTTTATATACCTCTGGAGGTGATTCTTCATCAAACATCGCCACCCCAAATACTACAGCGACCGCTCACAATGGCTACTCAGTACGAAGGTATCTTCACTAAACCCCTCCACCCCTACACCCAGTAGCTAATCTTGTTCTTCCCAACAGTCGAACACAATGTCAAATTCACCGAGGGTCGTCGCTCAGGCCGTCGCGTAGATATGGCCTCCTTCTTCTCCCTCCTTGATCAGATCGCCGAGCCCTCAGGCGCCCAGACCCCTCACCACAACCCTCACGCGACGCCCACTCCCGTAGACACAGCCGCTCTTTTCCGCCTTCTTCAGGAACAATTGCACCAGCTTCAAATGACCGCTCCGACAGACGACAACCGCGAATTTCTCCAGTCTCTCATCGTTAATCTCGAGGGCGACATCAACGATCCTCCGACTCGACTAGCAGGCGTTTCGCAAGAATTTCTCGACTCACTCGATCGCGTGAATCGCAAAACTCTCAAGAAAGATGACGACTGTTCTATCTGCAAAATTCCTTACCTGGAAGATGAATACTGCCTTGTTGTTGAGCTGCCGTGCCCGGGCGGCCACCAATTTGACCTCGAGTGCGTTGGACCTTGGCTACGAAGCAAGGGAACATGCCCTATGTGCCGTCATGATCTGGTGAAGAAGAAGGAGGTTCCCGTTGTACAGGATGAAGAAGAGGAGGAAGACGGCGATATGATGTATGCGTAAAGAGCGACGTGTTGTTGGCATTGTGTATAGTCTGGCGTTTGGAGTCTGAGCCACAGTGGGTTTGACTTTCTGGTGAATATGAGAGATGATGAACATGAACCCACTCGGACATAAAGGGATATACATCACGATTTTGGCCTTCCTGGTGCAAGAGCTTTGTGTTCAACCCGCGAAAACCATCAAGCTATGTTTCTTCACACGATAATGACGCTCTTTCTACCTCAGCATGAACATTCCAAAGACGACTTAAAGACTCGTACGGAAATTATAATTTAATCTCTCTGATGGGCAATATCGTCATTAGTATAGCCTGTATTGCACAAACAGCGACTGGTCAAAGAGCTATCCATGAAAAGAATTCATTCCCCTGGCAAGAAGAAACAGCAGGGTATGGAACTTCAGTACGCAATGATGCAGTCCAACTGATCACTGAACTTCACGAATCGCAGTCGTACTTAAGACTTATGGTGCGTCATCCTAGACACTCGTGGATTTTTTCCTAAGGTCGTTTGACACTAGTATTGATAAGAGCTTCAAGTAAATAACGAAATGCTTGCCAATTCATCACTGATCCACACCCTGTTAGAGACTCAGTTTTCCGTGGCCAGCACTGTTTCTTCTCTCCCGCAGGAGCTCTCTTCATTCGCAGGGCGTTCATTCAACCTCCAATCGTGTCAGCGGCTTACGGCCACCTGAAGACCCTCAGATGGGACGTTAGTAGCGTGGATCGATATCCGGAGATGTGGGGCCGGTCAAGTCGGAGCTGTTGACGGAGATGCTCCGGTGCTCTCCGCATTTGAACATGTTCAAAGACAACAATTCTTAAATTCCAATAGAATGAATGAATTAGTATTATGCTATATATATAAATCAACTAACAAGGGGCGTATCGGTCGTTATAGCCACTGATTAGTAGCTGGCTCTTAACCACTAGCTGCCTATCACAAACCAAGCCATTCCAAGTAAAGCATATGGCCTTATGTCGACTCAATACTCACGATTTGTATAGGTCATCATTGATTCAGTTGTTGTTACAATTATGCAAGTGATCCTTCTGCTCCTGCCTAGGTGAAAACACAATGAATATAATGTGCATTTCGCAGCGGTAACACGCTTCTCATTACCATCCCTTCCTCCTACTTGGACTTGGGCAGATCACCCTTCTTTGGCGCACTTCCACTTCCACTGGATCCTCCCTTCGAGATTTCCTCGCCAGCTCCCTTGGTCTTGATGGTCTTCTCATCGCCCATAGGCTTGCTGATCTCCTGGTTTGCCCCGCTCGCATGCAGGGCATCCTCTCCCTCGGAACCTTTGGACTTGGTCTTCTTCCTCGTCTTCTCAGCCGCCTCCTCGGGCCGTGTCGTGTTGGGGTCAAAGGCAACATCGGCATGCTCAGACGCCATCTGGTCGTCGGTTCCAGACTTTGTGTTTTCATTTGCTGTAGGTTGGAGTGACTCGCGGTCCTGGTCGTGCTTGTAGGCCATTTGTCTGCGTGCTGTCATGTGAAGAGGGCGGATGGTGGTTGCGCTTGTGCGCATGATGCTGCGGAAGACAGACATGATGGCGAACGAGTATAGGGAATTAGAGTAGCAATTTGAGAGGCAATTGAAGTGATGAAGCTTCTTTCTTGTAGCTGGGATGATTTTCGAGGCAATTGGATTGTGCGGTCAGCGAGTTTAAAGCTCTGTGAGCTCCTCAAGCTGGAGTGATGGTATTTGACCTACGTCATCGAACATCATCTGCGATCATAATCGTCATTATTTTGCAGTGTAGGCTACCCTGCACCATCATGATGATGCTTCTCTCTACCATACTCTACATTTACGTGCCCAGAATAATTCACAAAATGGAATATAAGATCCTGTTTAGTTTAATTTATGGATAGCGGTTGCTTTCAGCAAGAAAACTATCGATAGAAAATCAGCGGTGGTCGATTACTCGTGAGTTGAGCTAAGAGAATACGGAACCACCTCCCAAAGCTGGTGGGAGGCATTTGGAATTACGGACGGTTGCAGACTTATTGTCACCACAGCGAGACTAACAGCTAGGTGTTGGAAAAGCCCCCATTGAATCGAAATCGACATTGGGATTATCCAGAACAAGCTAGTTTCTGAGACATCCATCTAGATATGTATTAAGCTCCAGGGATTTGATTCGCAACTGTTTCTCTCTGTCAGCAGTCCAAGAGGTAATACAACTGCCCGACTCAAGTACTCGATCTTGGCTGGATACTCTAGAAACTCTAGACTGCGGGAACATACGATTATGATGAAAAAAAAACTGCATCTTGCATGGATACTAGAAGTCAAACAGTAATGAAAAGAGCATCAAAGCCACGGCAAAGGCGGCTTTGACTATGAGTCGCCCGACCGCCTAACAACCATTTTGCTGGATAGCTAGGACTAGCATGGATTTCGGCGAAGAAACTTTGACGGAGAGAGTGTATTGAACCGGAGAAGCGATTCCTTATTGATAGCAATGTATCCGTACATGCGAAAGTATTGCGTATTCAATGTTGGTCGGGCAGCGGCATCGTCCAAAAGGCACTAACAACGGGTAGTTCGTGTTCTAGAACATTTCATTTTAATTCCTTTTTCTTTTCTCCTGTCGAATTTGAATTGTAGATGGGAGATCAGGACATGCTTGCCTGTTCGGTGTGACGACATATTCATATGAGTGAGGATCAACAGCAAATCACAACTGAACATATGCAGAAAGGATCATCGTTGTTCAGCTCGGCTTGACGACGCGGCCGTGGATCTGTATCAAAAGTAAGCGAGTATCATCTTCAGCTGACTTTATGCAGCCCAGTGAGTAGGTGAGTTACAGGACGAGAGTGAAGAAGACGATGTACACCGCAAATCTTTTTTGAGATTGCTCTATCTCCAGGATGCGATACGAATATGTAATCGTGGTAAAGGAAACGGCTGCGGCGTCAAGTACAAAAAGGAGGATCGGCATCTGATACGGGTGGGAAACAGGGGTAAGGGAGGGATTAGACGAACGCCTAACCACCGGGAGTTACAGATCCTGAAGGTACATACTCGATTGACAGCCTTGCGACTGAGCTGATGTTTAAGAGTAACCGGTCAGGTTGGTACTGTAACACCGTTGAAGAGGCACCGGCATCGACGGATAGATGGAGCCTCGGGATCTTTTCCTTTGATGTTAGTTATCTAGTGAATTGGCTGGGTTGGCTGAAGCCTCCAACTGCCCACATCAAAGAGGCGGGCGCCGTTGCAGCAGGAGCAGGGGCCTTTGGGTGGCACAGACAGCCAAGTACAGCAGGTACATATATTGATTCTGCAGCTAACATTGGTTTTGCTTTTTGCTTTTCTTGCTGTTCTTTTCTGCAACCGTTGTAATGGGTCCAGGCACTTGGCAGGGGCCGGTGTAAGTGAGAGTTCTCCATACCAGAGAAAAACATCAACCGACACCTCTTAAACCCACGAGAGGCATGCTCAACAAGGCAAATAAATCCGCGGGAGACCAAATCCACGCTGGTCTGACTATTAAGTTATAATGGACGCCACATACATGAAGGGTCCCTTAACATGACATGTCACCGGCATCTCCGTCGCTTATCTGCATATGAGAGGCGTTTGCGGTAAATCCAAGACAAGGAAATTTGCTTGCCCACATGTGTATGTAGCCGCAGATATTTTGTAACATGTGAAGCCAGCGAAGCCTTCCAGAACGATGCGATGCTGGGGACATACGGTCTCACAAGTATGAGATTTGGGCAAACACATGTAGTAGTGCTGATGCAGGGGCCCGTCAAGTGAGATCTGTGAACGCATCCCGAAGCCCAACAGCCTGGATAAACGGTTTGGTTGGCTCGTTGGTTGCTAATTCGTTGTGTGTAACGGAGCGAAAGTTGAGGTACATATGCATACAACACGACGACGACGTGAGTCAGCCAACAATAGTCCGTCTCCATTCATCGGTCAGTCCCTGACGAAACATAGGAAGGGGTTTGATGGTCGTGCGCCGGCCTCCTCCCTAATATTATTAACTGGTGCGAACCTGGGCTATTGATTCCAGCAGTAATTGGTTGCGCCACGATGTAGCAAAAAGGCTCAACTTGAACACTAAGAGTCGAATCAATGACCTGCGTACTACATAGTAATAAAGTTGTTAACCCAGGCAGAAAAGGGATGATGATCCGACAGGTAAATTAGGTCAGGGCCATGAGCTGAGACTGATGGGAGTAGTACCAGCAGTGGAGATCCTCACTTGCCTTAGTAGCTCACATGAGGGCTAAGCTGTCATGGTAGTTGATTGGAATTCTGAGATAAGACTCAAGAACCTGATAACTTCAGCTATGTACTGATAGACTACGGATACGATCTATCGCAAATGCCATATCCGGATTTATTGATCCTGGGCCTGACTTGAATGTTTATTTGAGGGGTTAATTGGTCAATGAACGAGCAGGAGCAAAGTTAGTTGGTCGTCTGCCAAGAGTGTAGATCTTGCCCTGTCAGCATTTGGCACTAGGGACCTACAGTACTGTACTCCTTCTTGTTCTCGTTTTTCTTCTTTTTTAGGTAGGTAGATTCACAGTTGCACTCTTCATACATAGCTGTCTTGTGGATCATGGGTTCGCCTCGGCAATAGAGTCAGTTTAGACGAGATTCCACTCTCCTCAACTCTTTCTGGCTCTGGTTGTAGGCACGTGTCGACATGAACCGTGAAGTTGATCAGTCAGTGGCTAGTTAGACCGATTTGCCAGCCACACGCCGTCTTATCCACAAGCGCTACCCCTTCGGACACGCCGAACAACAGGCACCGATTTCGAAGGTTGTAATTTAGTACTTAGCTCATCGGTTTTCAGTGGCTTCTGAAACAATGGAAATAATATCAATTTCACTTTAGAAACGCAGACTGAGCCAATAACCGGCAGCGATGCCTCATGGGTACATTGCGTGAAGAATGATACAAAGACATCCAGATATCCGTAGCTTCACCACTACTGGCTGTTGCTGCTACTGCACCTAGGGACGTTTGCCCACCCTCCTTTGAACGGCAGTGGAACCAGGGTACCGTACACTTCTTTTGTTCACCAAAATATGCAGTGCTGAGATGTACCTTTGTAAGTGCAAGAGTCAGGACCCTTGTCATGGGTCTGATCTGGGGCCGAGTGAACGAACTCAACTCTGAGCCAGACGACCACCAAGATGGCAACGCTCACTTGTCTGTCAATAATAATGTGGCATTGACAGATCTCGTCATGTGTCTGATATACTGCAGTAAATAGGGTTGACCAAAAGCTAGTTGCATGATTATGCAGCTGTGTTCATAGACTGCATACGTAGTAGATCCATAGATGTGGACAATCAAGCTCCAAATCATGTAGACCCTCTAACTGAATCAATCAGACAACGTCTCTTGTCCGTCGGGGATTTTCCGTTACTCTCAAAATCCTCGATACCATTCAATGGGATCTCCCGAGCCAAGCCAAACCAAGCCAGGTCATTCCACCCCATGGTACTAGGGAACGGTTGCTTGATCCTCTCTGCCTGCCGAAACAACACTGTTGTCTCCCAGGAATGATTCTTGATAATATTCACCTTCCAGCCATAACACATAATATTAACTGGTATCTATTAACGATCACTAATAACACCAGTTAGAGAGATGTCCGCCAATCTAGGTCGAGTCTGCCTGTCTTACACGAGACTGTAAGCAGGCAGACAATGTGCTTATGTATACCTACATACACACATGTACACACACATTCTTCAACGATATGCTACCTTCTTGGCTTGACGGTTGATAATCACCCCTGTTTCTGTTTCACTCGTCACAATATTGATACTGAATTAGGGTATATGTCAGTATGTACCTTCGACGATAATCACTACTTCTCTGGACATGGCTTTTTGACCATATTTGGCGATGTCCCCGTTCTAGTTCCATCCACTCATTGTATGTATCTATTCTTCACTCTTATTATTAGGTAGGTACATACTCATACTCTGGGACCCATGTTCTGCGCTGCACTGTCCTATCCGTTGATATGCGGTTGCCCGTGCTTTTCTCTAACATGGGATCTGACTACAAGGGAGCTGGCAAGATTCAGACCACTTTTGAGACGGAATGAATTGCACAGACCAGACATCGTCTTTGGCAGCGTAGAGTTGAGTCGAGTTAAGATGGACGACTCTGTAACAGACTTTCTGCAGCAAATACAGCAACTGCGATAGGTGTACCATGTAACCCCGGGACCCTGTATAGAAGGGACTCTTGCATACCCGCCTCCGCCTACCTGATATGTACGCCCGGCAGACACCTAGTGGCATCATTCCTTCTTTGTTTCGACGGTGTGGCTCTTTTCGCTTGTTGTGATTGTTGAAGCAATTGCTGCAGACTGCTCCTGGGTATTGTCTGATTCGACAAGTTGTAGATTATGTTCCCTTCCATCTCTGAGAAGGACCCTCTCGTCCACCCCACGGATAGCTACTAGCTCAGTTGAGTCTCCTGGGCTTCTCCCTTCCATTAATTTAGTAGTGCCTGGTGGACAGCTATCCGCTACAACACCGCTATCCATTGCTGTCTCAACACCTACTGGTCACTACCACCTTGTCTACACCGTACCTTAGTTGCTACTAGGTATCTCCCCTTCTACTACTTGAATTTCCACTTGACCCATCGAATCTTCTTTCATTTCTTCTTCGTCGTCTTCTTTTCCTCCCTGAACTTCCACCCAGTCTAAACCAGTCCAAGTCAAGGCCTTTCCTCCCATTGCCTTCCTTACTATAGCTTTATACCTACTAGGTTGGGACCTTCACCTACAATTCAAAATTTCAACGTGGCTAGGATCCCTAAGCTAGAGCAACTTTGACTTGACATCCCACGTCTCGAAACGCCTCCACAGGTAGACCCCCTCCTACTCGCTAGGCCTTCCTCTACCTCCTCCTTTTCTTCCCCTCAAATAAGAGCTGCTCTCCTCCCCCCTCTCTTCCCCCGAAAGTCGCACGCCGTCTCGTCGACTTCCCGCCGCCACCTGGACCCCCCGAACGACGTCCTAATTTTCCTCTACAAAACGAAACGAAAAGCGCTGCACTGCGAAAAAAAAAAATCCGATTCTCGCCTCCCGTCCTTTGCGCCGCCCGCTAAGGTCCAGACCCTGCTCTGCTGTTCGCACCCCGATTCGACTCTCTACTTCACAAGCGTCCTAAACCAAACCAAACCAAACCAAACCAAACCCAGCCAGGCCAAGCCTCGTCTTGCTTTGCTGACTTTTGAGCTGCATTTGCGTCTGCTGCACCCCTGCGAACCTGGTCTTCTTGCCATTATCATCACTGTTATCAACACTGCCGAAATCAACACAAACGAACCATATTCGAAAACCGAACTCGATTTCTCAACCTTTCTTTACGCGCCGCAAAGAAGACAAGTGCCCTGTCAGATACTGTCACGGCGCTCCGATTCCACCCTTGTTTCATCTACTAGACTCGAGACTCAGCATGGGACTTTGCTACCTTTCACGATAATTCAACGTCGTCCACCATATCGACCCCCTCACGATGGGCAACGGCCAAGGAAAGCCCGTCGACCTCAACGGCGAAGGTATGTCAACCGGCTCAACTGCTAGATTCATTTTCATCCTTGTCTTTTTCTGTCTTCTCCAAATCGCCATTGGGTCATTTCGATTCTTGTCACCCTGCATAGTATCTGTTGTCTCTGAGCTGCATTTTACTTGGCATCATGTCTTCCTGGTGTATCGTGCATACCCGAAGGATGGCTTACGCTCCAGCGTTCCCTTTCAAGACAACACGACGGTTCAACATTCGATTGTTTGTGAAAAAGCCATTGGTACATTACGCTGACTTTTGCTTACAGTAAATCTTAATCACTTCCGCCTGTTGCGAGTCGTCGGTCGAGGTGCCTTCGGAAAGGTACGAATTGTCGAGCGAAAGGATACAAACCTTGCGTTCGCTCTTAAATATATCCGAAAAGATGAAGGTAAGTTACCGTTAGTTCCTATCTTTTCGTTACATCACTGGCTTCGGAGTCATGGTGTTGAATCGTGTACTACTTCTATCCTTGGTGGCGATTGTCGATTAGATGGGATGTGCAGTCACCGCTTTTGTAGCACCCAGCTAATAGTTGTGAATCTCAGTTGTACGATCTGAGAGTGTGCGTAACATCATCCGAGAACGTCGAATGCTGGAATATGTCAACCATCCTTTCATCTGTAACTTGAGATACAGTTTCCAGGACATTGAATACATGTACGCCCTCCTGCGACACATCCTCGACTCTAGCTCACATTCGATACTAGGTACCTTGTGGTTGATTTGATGACCGGTGGAGACTTGCGGTTCCACATTTCAAGAAAGACCTTCACCGAAGAGGCTGTTAGATTTTGGATTGCCGAGCTTGGATGCGCCTTGCGATATGTGCATAGCCAGAATATCATCCACCGCGATATCAAGCCCGACAATGTGCTACTCGACGCCGATGGCCACGTCCATTTGACAGATTTTGTATGTTTCGTCTCTGTGGTGTTATATCGAAAACTAACCAAATTAGAACGTTGCTTCTGATGTCATTCCTGGCAGGACGCTTACAAGCAAATCTGGCACACTGGCTTATCTCGCACCTGAAGTATACGCTGGTAAAGGATATGACGTTCGAGCAGATTGGTGGTCTTTGGGTGTCTTATTTTACGAATGCATCTACAACAAGGTACGTGCTTATCAAGCCATGCTCTACGGAAGTGCTGACCCGATACAGCGACCATTCGAAGGCGGCTCAGAAGGATCCCTTAGTCAACAGATCCAGGCTGCTTCGCCCAAATACCCCGTAACACAGCCACCTGTTTCCCTCTCTTGCCTCTACGCAATCGGCTCCGCCCTCGATCCGAACCGTGACACTCGAATGGGATCGACGTGGGAAAGTTTCATTTACAACGAATTCTTCAAGTGCCTCGATTTCGAGCTTCTCGAGCTAAAGCGGATCGAGCCGATCTTCGTTCCTTCGTCAGAAAAGACGAACTTTGATGCCACCTACGATCTTGAAGAGCTACTGTTAGAAGAAGCTCCGCTTGAGGCTCGCGCAAGACGCCAGAAACCACGAGAGCGTCTAAAGGATGATGCAACTGAGAAGGAGATTCGAGAAGATGAGCTGTACCGTATGATCGAGTCGGATTTCAAGCCTTTCGACTACACAGTAGCCGCCTATAAAAGGTATGTGTCTATGATAACTATGAAACATCATTACGTTTGCTAATCCGGACAGAATTACTGAGGGCGCCGGTTCTACCGAGGAAGGTTCTCAAGCTACAGATAATACCCCCCAGGCAATCACAACCGACGAAGCAACACCTGTGCCCGTAGCTAATGGGGGCTACCAGTCGTCGCCTCTTAACCCAAGTACCAGCAACGAAAGTCGCACAGGACGCCCAGTACGCCCCGCCCCACCACCTCCACTACAGAACAATTTCCAAACTCGCCATGTTCCGATGGTTGCTGGTCAGCGAATGACGAGTCCTACTGGAGGCGTTCAGGTGACTCTGGATGGCAGTGGTAGCTGGTCTGAGCTGGCTCGTCAGGATGCAACCTTGCCCACGGACGCTAACAATATTGGTGACGGGAAGAGCGAAGGCTCTGGTGGCATGTTTGGATTCTTGAAGAGCAAGAAGGGCCGCACAAATAGCCCCAAGCCAAAGGAGAGAGGTGTGCTAGGCAAGGAAGGCGCAAGAGTTGTCATCGGTTAGAAGAGGATTGAGGCTCGCAACACGCCGTTCTCGCGCCAGATTCGAAGGACCGGCATTCAACCGGCTTTTTGCACGCCGACACTACGGACTGGAAGGCTCGGATATTCTCGCAATGTGCATTTAAGGGGCGAGTGCTCGGCGCTCTCTACGGTGCCTGTTTGCTTCTTACGACATGAGCCGATGCCTCGACAGCTGAAAGTTGGCGACGCATTGTATTTCAGGACGGTCGATGCCGAACGCGGTATGGCGACAGCAGCAGTGCAAGGGCGATGAGATACGGCCTCTCTACTTCATTCGTTATGGCGTTCGGTCATGTTTTACGGCTAGACGCCCTTGCTGCCCCCGGTTATAGAGGGGTATCGCATTTTGAGGAACGACTGCTAATTTGTAACAACGTGGTATAAAACCAAACAAACAACCAATATGGGAGGAATTATGCATCTGCAGGTATACTTCATTCACTTGAATCTGCAGCATCTGGGTGGTGCTTGAATTGCGAAGGCGTTTTTCTCTTAGTGGGGGCAGACATTGATGGGATATAGTTATATCTTACACATTATTCATACTATCGACATCTTCGCAGATGTCTTATGAAGAGAATGGAAGAGGTGGATCGTATACAACCGGCGTGTATGAAGAGGCGGCTGGAAGAGGGCACAAGTAGGAGATGCCCAGTATTTATGGTTTGCTTGTTTGTTATTGTGAGCATATTTGGAATAATACCCCGTTACACTTGGCTGTTCGCCCGTCTCTATTGGTTTACTGTGACTTGACAATGTCAAGCTTTGAAAAATTTGTATTGACTTGGATATAACAGGACGTGAAGAAACCAGCGTTGTTGGTAACTCTTGACTAATCCTCGATTGTTTGCAGGCGATAATATATATGACGCGATACTACAAGTTATTTACTACCCAACACAGTTATGAACCCATGCTAGCCTATCATTATCATTAAAAGGAAATTCAACAAGACCAATGTCCAGATACCACAACTATGCACAATATTCAATGAGCGCCAAAATATACCAGGACAACAACACCACTTGGGGGGTAAGCATACGGTTTCAGAGGTTTGCTCGAATATTATCTCTAATAGGGCCGCTCCCATCGAGTTTCTTAGGGACCACTTGGTCGCTATTACCGTGACCCGAAGAGCTCTCGCTCAAAAAATCGTTCACTAGTAATGTTAGTCGAGCTTGTATAGAATGGTGATTTGGGATTACTTACAACCGAGAGCACTAAGCGCATTTGAAAGGCCGTACACCTCCTCTTCGACTTGATACTTTTGTCTTTTCTCTCGGAAATTCCTCATGGCAGGAAGGACGATATCCTCGTACCAGTTCGGGTTTAAAGACAAGTCATCCCAAGACCAACGTCCGACGACCTCTTCCGCTTTGACTTCCCAAAGGCAGATGTAGTGGTTATCGAGTTCCTTTTTGTATAAATTATACGGAACGTCGATGCTGTAGTATCTTATCTCATCGCCGTAGTTGATTACAGGACGTTTTGCCTCGAGACGTACTACTGGGTCGATGACCACAACGGTCTGGTTTTCCCTGTATGGACGAGTTCGTCTGAAGTTTGCAGAACTTTCAAGCGCTTCAGGCGAGGATGTGAACGAAATATAAGGGGTAGGCTCCCATATATTGTTCCTGATATGGGTCTGCAGTGTCGATCGCCGAGCTTGAGAGGTGCTTAGAGGCATGTTGGATGCTCTGGCATACATGTCTCCCGACTTGTCTGGTAGACTTCCGGAATTGCAATCATATGTCCAGAGCAAAGGACGATTAGCTAGATCCCTCTGTACATACCTCTGAGCAGAGACTTTCCAGGAACGCAAAGGGCGCTCTAAACTGACCGGAGACATGGACTGAAATGGAGTGGCAGTATTGGTAACAATGGAAATGATGTGATGCATATTTGTGGTTGACGTGTCTCAAGACTGAAGTTTCTGATTGTTTCGTCGATGCTGTACGAGACAGATAGTTCCTTATTGAGTAAGGTAATTGTAGGCTGGATAATTGTGCAGAAGTATGTGTTCTTCTCACATCAGTTGAAAGTGAAGCACCACCAGCTTAAATACTTCAAGATGTAGCGAGGCTTCCCCTGGCTGGACACGTCGTGAAAGTTGCCTAGTAGGCAACAAGGCATTCAATCATTTCCTGATCCCCTCCGAAGAACATTATGATGGTTCCAATATTTCATGATGGTGATGGTCGGCCTCCAGCGCCAACTCTCTACCCAGTTGTTGGTTTGCATGTGGCTGAGCAGGCCTTCTGAAAGACCTCGGCGACCATTATTACGACCAATGAATCGAGCGGACATGCATCTGAAAGATGAAATGGACCAACTACACGGTATTCAAAGTGATGATCAAGAAAGCCTTATTTCCTTGTAGGATATAACGGTTTGGGGCAGTGTTATATGAAGAAAGACAAAAGTTAGTGAGAGAGAAGGGGTGGGAGGGATGTTAGTTGTTACATAGATAGTGAAATAGAAGATGCTGCTGCGCATGTTATTCCCAACACTTAAAAGGAAACTGAAATGCTCCTGCAATAAGTGTGATCAGATAATATTTCGCTATAGATGTAGAAGAAGTTCCCCGTCAACTTTGAGTGTCTTGGGTAAAACTCGGCGAAAACTGATAAGCCCGACGTCTCAAGTACGAAGTTGAATAAGATAAATATAGATCGAAAGAACAAAAGTAATGACAACCAAAAAACAAGGGTATAATGTGAATTAGTTACACCCGAATAACGCCTATTCCATGCAATTGACCCAACACTGGCTCAGGAGCTCATATCTTGTTCTCGCCAAGTGAGAACATGCCCGCCCTTGATGAGTCCCTCAAGACCGTCTCTGCCTCCACCTTCGCATTAGCATCCCCTTCCTCTTGTATGCCTGACTCGGTAGCGAGGGCTACGTCTGGTGACGTTGGACTCGGTAATTGCCCATTCTTCTTGAACAAAGGCACAAAATACCGTCTGCTCGGCGCCCGCTTCTGACCCTTCATGCTGTTCATTGATACAGGCGGAGGCTTCGTGGTCTTGGAGATGGGTGGCGGGGAATGAGGCAAGGCCGTCATTTCAGAAGGCGGGCTGAACTTGGTTGGAGGTAAGGGCTTCATCACATCATGAAGTAGTTTTCTGCCAAGGGTGCTCATCGTGCAGTTGGATGAAGTTCGGGCTCGAGCTCGGGAGTCTGGTAACGACTTGGAATTGTTTCTAGCAACCAACCCTGGAGTGGGTGGAAGAGAGCCTTGTGTCGATGGGACCTGGGGTGAAGGTTGTTGCTGTGGAGGATTCTGAGCCAAAGGATTCCGCGCGATGAAGTGCTTGACCAAAGGCGAATTTGGCGACCGTGGTGATGACAGAGGCGATATTATCAAGGGTGTCGTCGACTCCAAAGTATGAACCCCTTCAACTCCTAGCATCTGAGCAGCTTTCTGTGGTATTGTAGGTGGCGGGATCGATCGAGTTGGGACCATCTCAACCTGGGTAGCAATAGGAGAGTTCCCATACGATTGCTGCGAGTAGATGGATACTGAATCTGGGATTGATACCCGGTGGTTGAATGCGTGGCGCCAAGAACGATACGCCGAGCTGCCAGGGGTTGCTCCACGCCTCGAGCTCTTACTTGGTGATGATTTCGTGTCGTTAACTTGACCATTGGCACGCTGTCGTCGGATACGGTATTGTTTATAGATAAGAATACCTATGAACACTGTCACTCCAAGGATGATTCCGGCAGCAATGGTTCCTCCAACTATAGCGCCCTTCTCAGTCCCAGAGTTTGTATTCTTGTTTGAGTTGTTGCTGCTCGAGGAGTTGTCTTCATCTTCGACCAGGGAATTAGAGAGTTCAGAGCTCTTGAGTATATGGTGTACCATCGATTTGACGTCTTCCCTACTCAGGTCTGTTTCCGTGATAGCTAATGGCCTGGCTTCTGTATGTAGAATGGTAAGTGCCATGAGAAGGCAAAACGAATGATAGGTCCAAGAGTTTGTCATGTCCGTGACTGTCGTTCGCATCATTGTTGTGTTCCGTCTCCATCTTGTGAAATCTCCCGAGCCTTGGTATTTATCGAGCTGTAGAAAAATTAAAGACGTCGTGTTCTCGAGGCCCTTCGTATCTGAGGCTCAAAGCATTATAATAATAGTATCATCTCGGTCGAGTTGACAAAGGGACTTGCTCGGGATTAAGAACAACTCGGGAACATACTTCGAATGAGCTTTGTTGTTTCGTCATAGGAGTATTTTCGTTCGCGCTATATCGGACCGTCGACTCGTCGTTGCTTAAAGAAGCCAGATTTAACATGCTGTTTCATGTCTAGATCGATCTTAGGTAACAAAGACGACAACCCAAGAGACCTTGGGTGAACAAAGGACAGCTATGGTCAACAGCTCGTTTGCACTGACCTCCATGATGGCTCAAGGATATCAGTCAACATTTCAAATTTCTTTGTCAGTGAGAATAGATATGTTGCAAAAATCTTCATGTAGCCCTGTTCAATGTGCCTGACAAAGAAGTGGCAGCGACACATATATGGCTATGGTATCACAGGTATGCAGGGCGATGGCGTTGAGATAAGGTTACAGCATAACGAACGGCCGTGGATTGATATGCGGCCGTTTCTTCTGCAATGCGGATAGTGCATTTCTTGCATCTCCGGACTGATAATAAATAGTACATATCGCACGGCCAGACACAGTTCATGATTGGGAACTGGCCTATCTAATCTCCAGCCCTCGACGACTTTTTGCAAAGTGACGAGGGTCTTAGAGCCACGTAGGAATATAGAAGTGACTCGCATTGATTGTGCAAAAGATAACGCACATATCGCCTTATTGGATGCCCCGGATTTTGTATATCACACTCTATGGACGCTTGTGGACAGGCACAGGAGTTCTGTACAGCAGTCACCAACGCAGCCTGTACTCTGCACAGTGCTGTACTTCGAATGTGCATTTGGGTAGGTTGGGATACTCTCAAGGGTCCAATCTTTTCTTCATCACGACAAACGCAAACAAAGAGTTCCCCAGGGGACAATTCTACTGGGGATGTTCTGGTGTCCTGGTGAGCACACTGTGACCCAGTTTGTTTCCGTGATCAACACTTGCGTGGTGATCACAAGCTCCAACCACCAAGGTGAACAGGGCAGCAGACCTCTCAAGATAAGAGATAACATGGTTTTGTCCGAAGTATTGAACCGGCGCTCCTGGCTCCTAGACCCCCAACTGCGACCCCCACCTTGAGGCAAAGCAATATTGAAGTTGGTTTCCTATTTTTCAAGCACTCTAGGCACTCGATTGTCCTGTCTCCCTGCACTTTCCTGTACAGTACTGTTCCCACCAGAAGCAGGGAGTCAGAACTCAAATGGTGATTCTGTGCCGAGACTGAGAGTACAGTAATGTATTACTGTCGTTGTCTTGCGAGGATTTGACCGAAGCTAGAGAGGTGTCATGGCAGTAGCGAACGGCTCGCGACAGGCTTGGTGCTTCACTTCCTTGTTGGTCTCTGCCTCTCAGAGGCATTCTCACGTGTTGATTTGCGGGCCAAGAGTCTGTTGCGGGCGTTGGAGACGGACACTGAGAGATCTGATCGGTCAACCCACTCTTAATGTCCGGGGACACAAGCAGGCATGACATATTAATATCTGTCTCTATCTTCGGCCCACACCGCCATAGTGGGGCCAACTCCGGGCTCTAGATAATCTTGTGCTTTCAACATGTTACAGATCGTATTGCCCACAGGTCCTGAGCCATGATTTGCTCTTCTTAGCCACCGGATTTCCCGTTGAAGGTCTTCCGCAACCATTAGTATCATTGAAACCCCCCAGCATTGACGGTAAGTGGGTAGTAATCCTTACATACAGAACGCAGCATGCCCTGGTTGCTTGTTCCCGTTTTCGCTGTTGAGCTGCATCATCCACTGATGCCGTGCTTCTTTTCCATGTCAGGAAGCGGAGCAGAAGAGGAGAGCTTGACGCTCATCAACTGTTTAGATCGACCCAAGGCTCGACGGAAATCGAATACCGGAAGGACGCCCCGGATGCCCGTTCGCCTCCTGTCAAGACAAACTGGGGACGAACTCTCCAGTTATTTGGGAGCTTATTTAAGTAAGGTACGTGAAGATATTAGGCACAAGGCGACCTTTTACTTTCTTCTCAACGAGACGTATACCGTTTCCACCAGTATGGCGTATTAACAATGGATTATAGAACCGCATAAACGGTTGCCGGTAACAGATTTTCAAATCCCAAGCTTCCATAGTACTGAAACAGTGTTGCGAGGCTTGGATCTTTGTTTTCCCGGATATTGTAGTCTAAAAAGACCGAACCCGCCTGTGGTGGGTTCATTCGATTTCGACCAACAGGCTAAAGGCTAAAGGCTGAAGTTGCTGAACCCACCCAGCCACTATAAGGTAGCCTCTCATAGGGGGCTAAGCCGCTGACACCATGCTCGGTTGTTTAGTGCAGTATTTTGAATCAGTTGCGGGCGCAACTCTGACACGAGCCTCTCACAACTTACAAGTTGCAAGCCATTGACAGGAACGACTCCCAAACAGCCGACAAGGGTTGCCGCTCGTCCTTACCTGCCGGCCCGAGTAGAACGAATTTTGTTCTCGGCGTTACTATTCGATCTCATTGTTCCAAAGTCGTGAATACTGGGGAGTTACTTTCTCAGCATCGCATCATAATAGCCGT